CAGCAGCCCCAAATAAACCAGGTACCTCAGAGGCATGCCTGAACCAATCCTAGCAAGTTATTAAAAAAAATATTCTTTTGTTCATTTCCCTGCCTTATAGCCAGATAGTTGTTACATTTACATTTGTTCATCCAAAAAATTGGCCCACTACAAATCTATAGCTCCACATCTCTCTCTCTCACCCCCATTCTCTCCCGATGAAGTATGGCACCTTATTCAGATTTCATAACCTGCGTCCACATCCAAAACAGACTAATGCCTGAGCACAGCACCTAAGGCTGTGTCCAGATGAGCATAGCTGTGCAGCGCGTGGCACCGTGGACACGTCTGCGGCACCCCAAAGTGTACTTTCCATTGTGCTCTGCACTGCAAGGGAGCAGCATAGAGGGTTTTCTGACCCCCTGGATATCCAGGGGGTCAAAAAAAACCTGCAGAGAGAAAAAGCAGAGCTGCACATGTGGAGACAGCGTGCACCACCTTACGCCAGAGCCTGGCTGGCCAGACCTGCACTCAGCTGCTTACAGGCTCCATGCAGCAGCAGCCCCAAGAGGTCCCCAGGCCTCCAAGTAAGGTTGCTGGAACCAGCCCAGTGATGGCTCCAGCCTCTCCTACCCCACCCGGGGTAACTTGACACACACCAGCGCACACATGGCACAGACAAGTAGTGGTAGCACAAGGTGAGCCACCGCTACTTGTCAACTAGCGGGACAATTGGCAGTAGCACAAGGTGCACCACCACTTCTTGTCCCTAGGGAACCAAACATCCACGCGTGTCTAGACACGGCCTGAGTACCCAGAAACTCAGAAAAAGTTGAGCTCTAGATCCGAACCCCAGTTCCCGGATTATAAATCACAATTATCCCTCCCTTACCCTGCTTTCCTCCAGTCTGGCCATGTTAAACCCACCTTTTATCAGGTCACTTTCCTCTCTGAGTCTCTCACCTGTTTGTCCAGCAATTGTAGCATACAGTCTATGGGGAATCCTGGAGGGGATTTTCAATCCTGCTCTTATCTGGTAATACCTAAAGAGAGGATCAAAAGAAAAAAAAAATGCTGTTACACAGACAGCTACTCTATTCAACCTGAGAAAAACAGAACAGAGTGGGTGGCCACATACTACTGCAGATATAATATGAAGAACAGGATTTAAATGCTGAGGCCCTTGTTCTTTCTTACTCAGTTTTAATTTTTTTTTTTTTTAATTCCACTGATTTCAATGCAGTTAATTCCTGATTTATACCACCATCAAACACAAATCCAGACTAATACCTGCCTGACAAATAAGCACAGAGAAAGTTCTCCCTGCTTGAAAACAAAAGTAAGGAAGTCTCCATGATGCAGTGCAGTGAACTCAAGCAAACATGCCGGAAGTCAGAACAGCGAAGAAAGGGAAGAGGGAATTTTGTCAAAATAAATTAATGAATCCCCCTATTCCCAAGAAAGCTTTTTCCAAAACTTGTGATCAGGTTGATTTTTAACAAAAAGGCAATCCTACATTTCATAAGCGATCTCCATTCTAGGTCGGTTTGCTGTCAGTAAGCAAACCCTGCATTGCATCTATTGGAATAGTATCTAGCTCCTGAGCGAGAGATGACACCAATGCAAATGCTGCCGGTGTGAGAGCAAAGTACGCTGCAGAACTTTCCATAATGTTTGCACGCCTGTGCACACAACCCAAGTATATAAAAAGGCAAGAATATTCCCAAACAAGGTCCGTTATAACAAGGAATAAGGAGAAAGCATAGAGGCTAGGACACTGCCTTCTCCAGGATCCTGTTTGTGAAAAGCCACTGCTTCCTTTTATTGGTCATAAATTAACTTAATATCCCTGCACACAGCTTTTCTTTATGTATTTTTGGGAACGGAGTGCAGCAGAAACCCAAGGGCCTCATTTTTCTCTCCCTTGCTTGGTTTTGCACAGCTGAGAGGGCACTGAATTCAGCAGCGTTAGTCCTGATTTACTGTGGGGCAGTGAGGAGGGGAAAAATCAAGCCCAAGGTATTTTTTCAGAATACAGGTACAAAGTAGTACCATGGATTCACACGGGCAGAAGCAGCCTGCTTACACTATCGGCACATTTGAAACTGCCTTTGTGGGAGAAAACCAATATCTGACTACATACACATGAAGATTGGCATAAATAAGGAACAGGAGAATGCTTAATATGAGCAGACCTCAGCCAGTCACATTTGTATCACGAGTTCCTGTTATAATAGACTTATTCCCGGTGGCTGCTGCTGACTACATGTGCATCTTTCATAGGGAAAATAAAATCCTAGAACATCTGGCTCTCTGTTTTATTCCTGTATGCTGAGAGATAAGAGGATAAGTAGTACTGGAAGGAGGGACAAAGTGCTGGCTGACTGTTCAGCTGGAAGGCAGGACACTTTCAATGTCATTTTACCCCAGGATGGCATTTGAGCTCTGTTCGTGGTCTGCAGCATGACAAAGAATACAGCAGTCTAAAATTATACAATTGCACCACTTGAGAGTTCAAAGCGCTCTGAGAGGCAGAGCCCTTCTTCTAAGGCTCCCGAAGAATGACCTAAGTCTATTGTATCAAGTAGGGAGGTTTGCCCCCTTTCAGGCTAAAGCTAACTTGCCATGTTATTTATCCCTGTTATAACCTGCACCTCATGCAGTCATTTACACTTGTCCCAAATGAGAGCAGAAGAGAAGCACAAGGCAACTGTACCAGAGTAGCAGTGACTTGCTCTTGCAGTGACAGCATGACGCATCAAGCAGCTACCTCTCAAACGCACTTTGACCCCCTCGCCTAAATTCTGGCATCAATAAACCAGCTAACACTGCTTAGTCATAATGAACAACGCAAACTCTTCAGGGCCAGCACCTATCATTTACTAGCAAAACTGAGTGAGAGTTGGGTGGAAATCATTTCCAAATCCCATGAAATTTGGGGATTTCAAACATGCTCTCATTCTGCACAGGGGGGAAGCCAAGGCTAAAAGTCCTGAAAGAGGAGAGCAGAGGAAAGGAGAGGAGAATCAATGGTCAGGGCACTCATCTGGACTGGGGACAACCCAAGTTCATTTTTCCACTTCTACTATTCTCCCATAGTTTGTGTGTGTCCAATTAAGAACTGGCTATTCTCGAGTGGGAGGTTCTGGTTTTGACTGAAAAATCCACCCTGGACCTAAATCTCCTTTCCAAATGACTGTTTCATTGCATCTGATACGATTCAGCCCATTGGGTTAGCACGGTTAAGGCCTACCAGTGTCTATGGCCAATCAATGCCCAAGGGAGCAATGTGGCAAGTATTGGATCCAGTTGCCTTTGTCTCCCTGCTTACAGCTGAGATGGCCAAAGGTAGCTCTTGCCATGAATGCAGAGCAAGGCTCAGACTCGTGCCTCTGGAGCCATGTGAGGTATCTTAACCACTCTGCCACTATGGGCATTTATACACATGCTCTGGAGCGGTGGGGAGGGAGGGGAACTTTAATTAAAGTACCCCGAGCAGCACATGCAGCAGCGTCCCCATGCTGAAAATGGCAGCAGGGGCACTTTAACTAAACAGCCCCCACTGCCATTTTTCAGCACGGTGAAGCTGATACACATGATGCTGGATTCTGATGGATTAACTGAGGCTGCTCTGATGCGCTGTATGGCGCGGCCTCACTGCACATGTATAGGTGCCCTATGACCCTCAACTGGGACCACCAAGCAATACAAATAAAACCACAATAAATTTGAGGTGGAAAAAGGTTTAAAAGCTTTCTGTCTTGAAATAGCTATATTTGGAGCTCATGATAATGGGAAATTTGCCCAATCTATTGATTTTGGAGAAGCCGGACATCTGGTTCGTTCTTGGACAACTGAGTAAGTTAGTCGTGGAGTCTGTTTATACCTCGTGGGGTTCCTTAACTACTTGGCTTTTAGAGAGACTTGGAAGTGTGAATCCAAGTGTCCCAAACAAAGCAACGCTGGCATCTAGCTCTTCTAAACTTTGCAGAGTACCTACCAGTCTGTGTCACTGCTTCTACCACTCGCTTAATATTTTGGGGCTGAGAGGGAGCACTGGGAACTTCTAACAAGGCAAAAAATGATAAACTATTATTGGCTGCCATCTCAAAAACTGACGGAAGGACTAGAGTAGGAAGGATGCTGGCCCTTCTGCGGGGAGACTGCTTCTTTGACTAGGGTCATTTTTTTTTAGCAAGCTGTTCTGAGCCTATCGGATAGGGCAGGGTATAAATCTAATAAATAAGACAAGTAAGTCCCATATTCATGATACTTTTAAGTACTCCTCATTGAGATTCAGATTTCCTGCTATTAAAGGAAAAAGAAGACTTAAGAGGTTTGCTTGGCCTATGGAGAGAAGCTCTGTACAGCTGGCATCAGTACTAAGTGATGCCATTACAGACTATCCACATTTTTTTTTTTTGTTTGCTGAATGCTTACCTACTTTATATATTCACTCCTAATAAAACAATTACTGAATGTATAAAGTAGGCAAGCATTCAGCAAACACAGTAACTAATCAGCAGTTCTACCCAATAAAGTATTTAAATCACAAGAACTCTCTTTGTTTGTTTGCTTCACATTTGTTACTACCGGGATTAAATGAACTGACATTTAAATAGGGCAAAAGTAACTGAGGATAAACCTGAATTTTTGTTGTTCTTGACCCTAAAATAATTTATCAACCAGCAGGCACCATGTGAAACACAGTTGTGATCACACTGTGTCATCACCCTGACAATACAGTACAATACCACTTTGACAGCAATCCTTGCTTTTCTTTTTCCAATGGCAAATTATTCAAGAGTACTCATCTGTATTCCCAGAACATGCAGAACAATAGCTTCATCCAAGAGGAGCAGGGGAATGTAACAGAGACTAATAAAATCAGCAACGAGGGCTTTTAAACAACCAACAGCTTATAACGAGGGCTTATAAACAACCAGAACTGGAAGAGGAAAAGAAAATGGTAAACCTGAAAGGAATTCCTTGCACAGAGATTCTATTGCATGACTATGTACAGTAGTATTCGCCCAGACCACATAGGCATGCAGCTTTTATCGGACTTATTGGTGGATGTCGTAAATGTAAAAGGATTTCACCGTGCTTCTATTTCTTAAGATGCATGGAATGGAAGAGAACTTGGATCAGTAATGCAACAAATAGAAAGGATGCTCTATATGGATGGCTATAATCTATAGGGATTCTTCCCATCGACTTGCACAGACCTTTGATCCCACCCGTATATTATATAGGGCATACAACACTGGCAAAAATAGCATGGAGATTTGTATACATCCTTTGCTTCAAGTAAATGTCTATGAATTTGAACAGATGTATGCACTGGAATATGTTTTTAAAGTTCAGTACAGCATCGTTAGAAATGTATTACAGGCAGTCCTCAACTTACAACATTTCGCACTTACAACGTTTATAAATTGACACCCTGTTTCAGCTTTATGACGTCAGTTTTGACTTTACAATGCTTGATCCGATGCGACGCCATGCCAGCGAACAAGTTCACCACATCGCTCATCTCCTTGGACAACATCTGCCCAAACGTCCTTGGACATTTTCTTTAAGAAAGCAGACAAGACTCCAGAAAAACCTGCAGCCAAGACTCCTGAGAAGACTCCAGCCAAGAACCCTTCCAAAAATCCAACCAAGAGCCCTTCAAAAAGTCCAGCAAAGTCACCTCAAAGAAGTCCTTCCAAATCAATATGATTGCTATTTACAATATAAATACATTCATGTAGCTATATTACTCATTTATAGTTGATCGAGTACAAAATTCTGGGGTATTTTTGGTGAAAATAGGGTATCGGGACTTGGTTCAGGAACTTGTTTCTTATGAGAAAATTGGTTCCGAGTTACAACGCTTCGACTTAAGACGTGGTTTTCAGGAACTAATTGTGTCGTAAGCCTGAGGACTTCCTGTACATTGACAGATGCCAGACTAGCAGTACTGAAGACAGACCGGCTCCTCTGAAACGCACCCTACTGCAGAAGGCCAGCACATGACCGTCAACTAATAAAATCCATT